ATTAGTGTGATTTTCTGGTGTTATATTAGAATTTATGTTTGGAAAAAGTGCACTAAAGAGTTTTCTATGTTATATTGATTGGAGTGTTACATTGGAAAAAAATATACAAATAAGTTTTTTGGAATGTTACATTGTTAAGTTTGGAAAAAGTACACTAAGGAGTTTTTGTGTGTTACATTGATTGGAGTGTTACGTTTGAAAAAAAGTACACTAAAGAGTTTTTTTGAAATGTTACATTGTTATGCTTGAAAAAAGTACACTAAGGAGTTTTTGTGTATTACATTGATTGGAGTTAGGCTGCAAATGAGCCGAGCTGGGCCGAACTTTTGAATGTTCAAGCTTGTTCATTAAGAATTAGTTGAGGTCGAGCTCAATTCATCAAATATTTGTTGAACTCAAGCTCGGCTCGATATTGCTTGATTACAAAAACAAGCTGAGTTCAAGTTTGAAAAAAAATTTAAATTTAAATTAATTTCTAATTAAGATTTAAAAAAATACAAAATTATGATTAAAATATGTAATAATGCTTATATTAATAATAAAATTTATCAATCAAATATGTAAATTTACACAAACACTAAACATAAATAAAAAAATGAAACAAATTATTGAAAATTTATTTAATATATTATTAAAAATAAATATTAATTTATTTATTTTTATGTTCATGAGCTTTGTCGAGATGAGCTTAGGACTACTCGAGCTCGGCTCGATTAATAAACGAGTATAAAAATCGAGCTTGAGCTCGTTCATTTAATAAACAAGTCGAGCTCAAACGAGCTTTAAACGAGCCGAGCTCAAGCTGTTCATGAACAATTTGGTTCATTTGCAGCCCTAATTGGAGTGTTACATTTGGAAGAAAAAAAAAATACACTAAGGAGTTTTTTTATCATGTTATGTTGTTGCGTTTGAGAAAAGTAAACCAAAGAATTTTTTAGTGTTAAATTGATTGGAGTGTTATGTTTGAAAAAAGTATAATAAGGAATTCTTGTGAAATGTTATTGAGAAAAGTACACTAATCAGTTGTTTAGTATGTTATATTAGAGTGTTTCATTTGAAAAAAGTACACTAATTTCTACATTATGAGAAAACTTATATTTTTCCCTCAACACATAGCACACACGTTTTTATACTTGACTTTTTATGTAATTCATACTAGAATGAGACTTTTGGGTCTAAAAACTAAAAAAATAAATAATTTATAAGATCACTATTTGAGATTTATTAGTATTTCACCCTAAATTAAAATAACTCAAAAGTTTTGAATTTAAATTGACAAAATTAAAGTATCAAATTTATTGTGTTATAAGGATGATCTAAATAAGTATATTTTTGAATCTTTTATAAGAGATGATGTGACCAAAAAAAGATAAAAATGGCTATGGTAAGAAATGACAAACAATCCAATTTTTTTTTTTTTTACTATAATTAGGTAAAGCACACGTGCAATGCACGTGACTATTTTGGCCCAACTCATTTTTTCACCAATTGTACTATGTTCATGGATTTAAGCAAAGTTTTGGAAAAAATTGAGATCACCTTCTACGGTACTATCTTCATATTTGAAAATAAAATTAAAGTTCGGCAAAGTAAAAAATATAAATTAAGATGTAGATTAATTTATGTGCAATTGTTTATATTGCATAATCAAAATATAGGCATAAACTGCATGGAATTTGAACATAAACGTTTAAAAATGTATGTTTAAATATAATATAAGGTTGTGTACCATAGCCATTAAATCAACTAGTCAAATGTAAATGAGAATTTTTTTTCACTAATTGATAAATATATATATATATATATATAAATGTAGGGGGGAAAAAACTGAAGAAGTTATCAAAATTTAAAGTTGTTACACAATAAAAATTTAGAAATTTTAAAAAATGTGACAAAGTTCATACCAGACCAAATTGTACTTTTTATATATAAAGTTTCACATTATGTAGGTCTTACTCATTGTAAGACATCTTTATCTCACTATGTGTTTGGTACTTTGTGCATTTAGACTTGTTAGGATAATTATATTTGTGCTAAAAAAATCATTAAATACGTCTAATTTTTTAATACATTTTCATTAAATTATTTAGAGTTATAATTTACTCTCAATACACCCAATATTTTTCTTTGATTATCCTTCAATCACATCCAAATCCTAAATTACACCACTTTGAAAAATTCTTTCAATAGATTTCTCATTACAATTATTCATTTGGGATTTATTGCTCTCTATCTATTCTCTTCTTCTTTTATTCCATGGCCGACTTAAAACTTCTTGTAGCAATTGTTGTTTGTGTTGTTGTTTAAAGTGATGAAGAAGATAAAAAATAATTAAAACATGGAGAAGAAGATGAATAGTGACGAATATGAAGAAAGCGTATAAGTGGTTTGAGAGTATCGTGAGAAAAAAAATAATATTTTATTTTAAAGTTTAATATGTATTGTCCTTATTAATAAATTTATATTAGGGTATAATAGAAATTAAAATTTTAAATTTTAATTGGATATACTAAGTTATTATTTGAGTTTAAATAGAATCATTCGCCTTATTGTTATAAAATAGGAAGAAATTAAAATCACTTCCTAAAGCAAATCCACAAGACTTTTGGAATCATGAACAAAATAATGCATACCATGAACAAAATTTATTTATTTTTAAATAAAAACTTTAATATAGAATTCTAACTTAATGAGAAATTTTAGGAAATCTGATTTTTTTTTTTTTAAATTATAATAATCTTAACCCAAAGAAAAACAATCCAACTATGACTACTTTCAACACAAAATAAAATTAAAAAAGTGCCTTTCCGTCAAAGTTTCAAATGAATAAGAATTTCTTGGTTTGGTGCAACTTCAATCTCTACAATATGTGATAATGAATTGATAAAATTAAAGTGAAACACAATTCAAACCGATCGAGTCTTCACGAATTGAAATTGAAAGTTAAATAAGATTTAAGAGAAGTTAAAAGACACACCCATAACTTTTATTTATAAATGTTAATGTGTGATTCAAATTTGTTTTGATTCTACATATGAAAAAATCTAGTTACTATGAAAATTTATCAAAAAAAATTACCATAAATTAAGAAGTATTGTTGAAATTTAATTAGTGTATCATACATGTAGAATGAATTCAAAGCAAGAAAATTGTCATAGATAAAGAAGTGTGGTCAAAATTCAATTAGTGTATAGTAGATTCACATATAGAATGAATTTGAATTATGTATTATTGTTTTTATGTAAAATTCTAAATACAATTATGGATATATTATTGATTTATATCAGTAGGGAAAATTTTATAAAGAGTAACTTTCAGATACCGTTAAATCTTGCCCTTTAATTATAATATAATTTTTAATCTAAATACATTTAGAAACTAATTTATCTGTGTATTTTTTTTTTAATGTTAAATATACATTTAGGGTTGGTTTGGCAAGGGTTCATTGGACTTTTTTGGCTCAATGAGACATAAAAGACAGAATAGGCTCATAAGTCACAACAAACAGAACATCCCATCCAACCCCATAATCATTACACTTTTCTCTCACAAAAAAATCAAAAAAGCTAAAAAGCCAAAAGCCTTCCCAACTAAGCTTTTGAGCCCAGGTTCATATAGTCAAAAAAGTCAAAAAGCTAAAAAGCCAACCCACTTTCCAAACGGAGGCTTAGACACTAATTTATCTGTGTATTTTTTTTTTAATGTTAAATATTATTATATTTTAAATACAATAAAAAATCACGTTAATCGGATATCGATAGCTATGTGAACAAAACAGTTTTTTTATCAACCGTTAATTTATTCATCGTCCATTGTTTTTATACAAAACTGATTTGATCACATAACTATCGATATCCGATCAACGAGTTTTACACATTTAACGGTTCAGATTTTCAAAACGGGACCCGTGATGGCCCCCACAGGCCCAACAACATGGTCTAGTCCGATGACGGACTGGACCAAAGCCAGACCCTATATATAATATGAAGAAATTTTACCATCACTAATTGTTAAGAATGAAATAATATGAAATGAAAATCAATAAAAAAAATATGAAAACCCCCAAATTAAAAAATAGTTTTCAAAAATTAAACTAAAGAAAGTGGTTGTTATTTAGAATTTGGGCAAATTACATATACCTCCCTCGAGGTTTAGTTAAATTACAGATATCTCCTGAGGTTTTGAAAATTACATCCCGCCCTTAGAAGTTTGTATTTTCGTAACAATTTACCTCCTGAGGTTTGTATTTCATAACAAATTACCCCATAATTTGTTATGCAACTATAGCATTCCGGGAAGAATTTATAATTTCTAAAACCTCAGGGTATCTGTAATTTAGCCAAACCTCAAGAGGTATATGTAATTTGCCCTTAGAATTTTGACAATATGCGTATATTATTAAAGTATCTTGAAAAATAATACAATTCTAAAAATTTAAACAAAGAGAAAGTATATAAAAATGGCTTGCAAATTTTGCGTCTCTCTATATAAATTCGAATAGATACATACAACTCTAAGATTTGACTTAAAATATTCACAGTATTTTCTATGGATTTGAACAAATGAATACAACTCTAAAATTCAACCTAAAATATTTACAGCAGTGATGGGCATAATGGATAAGAAAAATTTTATAATTCAATCATCCATTCAAAAAATAAAGAGACAAATTTATTATAAAACTTTTGAAAGGAGAGAAATTAGAAATTCATCGTTTTTTAATATTAAATAAAGAAAAAATGTTTAGGAGTTCCAATTGAGAGCACTAAAGGAGCTTTAGAGAGTAGGTTCCACTGATTGATGTGATGTTTTAGCGTTAAGTTTTTTTTTTTCTTTTGTTTTTTTGAATTTTCACCTTATTAATGGTCCATTAGTGCTCCCAAATTAGTGAGATATATCATTGTTGTAAATAAATAAATATTAATATTAATATTAAGAAAAAAATAATTATTTTATATAAGACTCTCTAAAACTTTTGTAATTGAATTTAAATCAAAACATCACACTTAATTTTTCATTTACACCCCTACCCCACCGCCGCCGCCGCCGCCGCCGCCACACTTATCTCAGTGCCCTTTTAAAATAGTAGTAGGCTTTTGGGGCGAGCACTCAATTCTCGTTATATCTCTATCTCTCTTTCAGTCTCTGAGTTTTTCTCAGTCTCTTGTTCATCTGGCGTTACCCTAGCTGCGAATTTTTTGTGTACCATTGCTGAATCTGCAGTGGAGGACTTACCTAAGCTGCCAACAAGGTATCTCTCTCGATTGCTTCTCTTGATTCCAATCGATTAATATTCGATCGATTAATTTTTAACCACTGCCCTTTACTTTGTCTCTTGATCGTTTAGTTTCATTATTAGTGAAAACTACTATGAAGATCTGAAAGATGATTAGTAAACATAGCCTTTGATTCTGTGATCTAGATTTAAGCCATTGTACATTTTGAATTTGAATTCCATATTTTTCTTTTTTCTTCATTCTCTATATTAATATATTCTGATTTTTCAATATAATATGTGCTATGTGTATGTGTGCACTCATTTATTTGAAGGCATATATATATATATATATATTTAACCTTCTTCTCATAAATTTTGATTTCTTTAGCTGTTCAATTTTCGATATGAAATCGAATTTGTTTCGTGATAGCAAAAAGTACGTATGAAATGGTTGTGTATGCTCCAATTTATTATTTGATTGATGCAAAACTGAGCAATTGGCGAAATAAGTGTTAGAACTTTTAAAAAATGAAAATTGGAGAATTTCAGCATTTATTAAGTGCTGGAGGGGAGAGAGTTTTGGATTTTTAAAATTGGGGGGCCGAACAGGAAAATTTGCCCAGAATCATAATTTTGGTCAGATTGATGATCAATTGAGTTTGGATAACTGTATGTATATATATTTATAATGGTATAGTAATTTGTCTTAATTTTATAGGCTTTTGTTCGAGTTTGTATTAGCAAACTTGTGTTTTGAGGCAATTTACAGATTTATTGCTTAGATTAGCTACTGGAATATGTGCTTTGAGTTTATGAATGAGCTGGGTTTCTACTCATAATGTATATGAAGTCTTACAAAATAATTTTCCAAAACATCTTTTGAAAAAAACAAAACCAAACAACTTTTCATATTTTTTATCTCTAAAACACATCTCTCAAATACAAACCAAACATACCCTTGGATTTTTAAAATTGGCCGGCCGAACAGGAAAATTTGCCCAGAATCATAATTTTGCTCAGATTGATGATCAATTGAGTTTGGATAACTGTATGTATATATATTTATAATGGTATAGTAATTTGTCTTAATTTTATAGGCTTTTGTTTGAGTTTGTATTAGCAAACTTGTGTTTTGAGGCAATTTACAGATTTATTGCTTAGATTAGCTACTGGAATATGTGCTTTGAGTTTATGAATGAGCTGGGTTTCTACTCATAATGTATATGAAGTCTTACAGAACTACATTTTTTTTAATATTTGTCAAAATTTAGACTTAAGAATGTTCCCTATTTGGTATGCTCTGTGATTGTGTAAGCAAATTTTGGGTATTTTGTATTTTGAAATTATATTACACTAGGCTGGTTTTTTGTTGGCTATTAATAAAGAGAAAATTATTATACAATGATATGCCAATGTTTATCAAATTTATTTTGACAATAAACAATAAACATTGATTATAATATCTGAAGAAGCAAAAAGATGGCTAGTTCAGAATTGATTTAGGTTATTATATTGGGAATGGATCATCTTCATATCATTATCTTCTATATCCCTTAATATTCTATTTCCTGAATCTCATTTTAGGCCCATAACAGTAATCCAAATGGTTCATCTCATAAATTTTGCAATGAAGGTCATTTGTTTAAAAAATCAATTTTATCAGATATTGAAAAACATGTGAATATATCACATTTTATATCATAAAATAGACTATTTATATCAAAAGGATAATGTTTAAATCATAATTTGACATGGTCCAATGTAAAAATGCTATTTTTGACAATGTTACCTTAACAGTGCAAATGCTACATTTTGATAATGTTGTTCGATTGCCTAATATTGGCTTTTGATCAAAAGCTACTAGAGATCTAATTTGATCAAAAGCTACTAGAGATCTAACACCAGTCCATTTTGCTTAATATTGGCCGTTAGATCATCGTGGGATAAAAAAGCCTTAGAATCTTAAAATATCTCTACTTTTTCTCTTCTCTCTCACAAAAAGCTCCAGTTCAGAGTCCTCTCTCTTTTATCCCCAAAACCTATCTGTGATAGAGGATTGTTTTAGTTACTGAACATTCTTAAGCAAATGGTTCATCTCATAAATTTTGCAATGAAGGTCACTTGTTTAAAAAATCAATTTTATCAGATATTGAAAAACATGTGAATATATCACATTTTATTTTATAAAATAGACTATTTATATCAAAAGGATAATGTTTAAATCATAATTTGACATGGTCCAATGTAAAAATGCTATTTTTGACGATGTTACCTTAACAGTGCAAATGCTACATTTTGATAATGTTGTTCGATTGCCTAATATTGGCTGTTTGATCAAAAGCTACTAGAGATCTAACACCAGTCCATTTTGCTTAATATTGGCCGTTAGATCATCATGGGATAAAAAAGCCTTAGAATCTTAAAATATCTCTACTTTTTCTCTCCTCTCTCACAAAAAGCTCTAGTTCAGAGTCCTCTCTCTTTTATCCCCAAAACCTATCTGTGATAGAGGATTGTTTTAGTTACTGAACATTCTTAAGCAAATAACAGGAAAATTTTCCTAAATACAAACTCAAGATTTGATGTATTGACCAATACTAGTCTTTGATCTGGATTTATAAAGCAAAATTGAGAAGAGGAAATGCTATGGGCAATTATTCTACACACTAGGAATTTCATATTGTACAATGCTACTTATCACTAATCTTGACATAAAATAAATACCTATCACCAATATACATTTCAATGGTATATGGGATGAGTATGTTTGTGGCTCTGTGCACCACCCAGAAGTTAAAATGAATTGGTTCTGTTTGTAATTGTCCTTATTTTACTATTATCTATAAATAGGTCTGACCATTCATTCTATTGCACAATTTTTTTGTTATTTTTTTTTACACATAATGAAAGAGCCTGTAGCTCATACACCTCTTTGCCTCTCTTCTATGATCCATTATGTTGAAAATTTTCTATAAATCTAAACTTTCTCCAGCTTATTTCCTTTGCCTGACTTGGTGTCAAGAAATTGAAAGTTGTAGGATAAAATCTGTGAGGGGGCTTTTGCATTCGTCACGGAGTAGTTGGGTGTACTATAGCCTTTGATTATGTGATCTAGACTAATCCATTGTTGTACATTTTGAATTTGAATTCCTTATTTTTCTTTTCTTGATTCTCTGAGGTGATCTAGATTAATATATTCTGATTTTTCATCTTGAAGACTCAAATTTGGCCTCTCTACAACTAGACGCATTGTTTTTATTTCTTCTTCTTCTATTGAATTGTTTTAGCAATAGCTTTTCTTTTTTTTTTTTAATAGTAGGCTGTTTACACACCTGGTGGCAACTAAGTCCCAAACTCTTTTTTGTTTTATAAAGTGTCTATTTACTTCAATGCGCTTCTTGACTTTATGCTGTTTTGGATTGTGATTAGTGTTAGTTTCATTGTTATAACATAGTCCTTAGTTTATTATTTGAGTTAAATATCGAATATTTTGCTTCATCAAATTGATATATATATATATACATAGGTGCATTTATGTGATATTTGCTGTTTGAACCTATTCAGAACTCAGTAACAGTTTTTTACTAATATTCATTCACATTTATGATGTGGGTTTGAGCTTGGGTTTATCTAGATGTTGCTATATTTGTTTCTGCAATTTTGTTTTTCTTTCAAAAAAGCAAAAAGTGGAATTTTTTGTTTATGTAATACTAAACTTGATTGTGAAATATTTCATGAAGCTTCTTTGATCTGGCATAAACCATTTTTCTCTTTGATTTTCCTTTATACCATTCTACATACAGTTTGTCCCTAATATTACCAAAGCTCCATTTCAAATTTCTCACTGATTTTCAGAACTTATTAATCAGTTTTACTAGACATTCAAAAGTAGTTATGAATTAATGCTGGAGCTTTAAGCTGCTAATAGGGTTCTCCATCTCATGAACTCCATGTTTTGTTGCTCGTTGATGCTTGATCTGTATAAAATGTCATCCAAGTACATTTGGTGCCAATCTGTTGGAAATTTCTAGCTTTCTTATAAATTAACACTTGGCCTCGTTTGGCAACCGAACTTTTTAGTCAAAAAGTTAAAAAGTTACTAAATTAGTCAAAAAGCCAACAACTCACACCAAAAAGTCAAAGATTCTTTTTTCTCTCTACTTTTTGCACATCTTTTCATAAAAAGCCAAAAAGTCATCCCAAACATACTAGTTTTTTTTAGCTCATATTTTAGCCAAATAGCCAAAAAGTTACTAAATTAGCCTGTTCCCAAACGAGGCCTTAATGATTGTTTAATTGAGTAGTTATTTATACAGGGTTGTTAGATTGAAAATTATAGCCTCTAATTGTTTGTTCTAAAGCCCAATAAAGGTAACTTGAATGTTATACCCTCCACTTGAAACATAAACACATACATATATATGCCTACAAAAGAGTAGGCAGAGTCATCCTTTCTTTCTTTCTTTCTTTTGAGTATATTTATAAGTAGGTAGAGTCATCCTTGCACCATATTGTTAAGAATTGAATGTTAATACTTGCTCAAAAAACTTGTAACTATCTTGGACTCTCAAAAAATGGTCAGCAAAATTCACTGCGTATCTTAGCAAGATATCCACGATAACACAGAGAAGGCACTACAATAATTGAAACAATCAAAGGGACGTATTAAGTTTTTTCCTCCTTGCATGACATTGTCTTCTTTTAAATTAGGATCTGCCTGGCTTTTATTGAGAAGCACCCTTGATATTACCAAATCATGGTGAGGTTCGCATTTCCATTTCACATAATAGAAAGAACCAGAATTTACTTACTACAGCATTTGCTGCCCTGTGAAATGAGAAATGGACGAGAGGACTCTGGTAGCAACCAGAACTAAGTTCAAAAAATGCCCTCAAAAGTACTTCTCATAGAAGCACCATCTGAATGCTCACCACCCCTTCAGTTAGAAAATTCAGAGCATTGCGATTAGGGGTGGGGAGGGGATGGATGGTGGGAAAAGGTATTGAATTTAATTCATGGGTAATTTTGTGTTTTCCCATTTTCTGTTAATGCTATCCATGTTGTCACTTAAGTCCAGAGTATAAGGAGTATAAGGAGACCAGAGCAAAGCTGCTGCTCAGAGGTGGGCACTTTGATAGCAGTGAAGAACTCTACAGAACTTGTGTTAGCACTAATACAAGGACACTGATGCTGGGTCATAACCATGCTCAGGCTTTGGCTTCTCAAGAGACATTAGCAAAGTTAGTGAAGTAAGATCTGATTTTCTCTTTCAAATAACTTAATCCTACACTTTTGTAGCTCAATTTTAATCACACTAACCGTGTTACTAATTAGATATATACTTAGATATAAACACATCAAATTGTTCTTACTATTAACTAGCTTCAGTTAAATGACAAATAAATCATTATATACACAATTATCAACGTCCTAGTGCCATTTAGATTGGAATCACACTAGTTTCTGTTGGGAAAGGTTTCTTCTTCATCTGTATTTCAACCAAAGATCTCTTGCCTTGTAAACCGCCAACAAAAACTATCAACTTTTTCCAGTGAAATGGATGGATGGATTAGACCTAACAAAATGTAATGCCTACCAAGTGTTACTTGATTTTTTTGCCATCCAAGGTGATCCAATACCTCATTTGATAAATGACTGCTCTAGAGGACATGTGTGTAGTGTATGATATTCGTTTTTAATATACTGTATCGCATTACAATGAAGTACAATGAATTAACAATTATAGCATAAATCACCAAACTCCTATAATGGAAAGACCTAAAAATTTGCGCATGAATTTTACTTTTCTCTGGCTTAATTTGGTTCTCGTTTTGTATGATTTTTAAGGGTTTTCAACGTTTTGAGCAAATTTTGAGTCTTTGATGAATTGTGGCACTACCCAGGTCATGATTAAGCTTAAAGTGCCTTATCTTTGACTTATGAATTTATTTCAATCTTAGACAATAAAGTGCCATATCTTGTCACTTAAACCTCACCTTCACTCTTCATTTTATTTGAATTGAGTACTGAAGTATGCATGTGTTCGCCTTTAAGAAGTGCACTTTTTGTCATGTTATTGATTATATATACATATATATATATATATATTACTCAATGTACAATCCAATGAATTCAGGGCATCTTCAAAACAAGTTTGTGACATGTTTGGTGACATAAAATTCTATATAAAGACCTCTTATCTCAAAGTATCTACAATTATTGGGATCATATGAGAATCTTGAAGAATGAAATCTTGAGACATATCCAATGGTTGTAGACATTATGGGCATGTTTGATTGGAAAGATTAGAGCATGGGATTGAGATTATTAATCCGTGAGCCCAATTATCCCATGTTTGTTTTGACATTTTGTTTTAGGATTATTAATCCAATGGATAATTAAACCAACAAATTTGTAGGATTACTAGTCATGAGGTAGGGGTGGGATTGTGAATACCATACTAATTTGATAGGATTATTAATACCTCACTGTTAGTCTTGTGGAATCAAACATGGCCTATGAAACAAAGGACATTATGGGTATGTTTGGTTTGTGTTTGAGAGATGTGTTTTAGAGATAAAAAGTACGAAAACATGTTTGGTTTGGTTTTTTTTAAAAGATGTTTTGGAAAATTATTTTGAGATAGAGTTTTGGAAAAAGTGATTGATTTGATGTGTGTGAGAGAGAGATTTGTTTAGAAAACTTGTTTGGTTTACAAGTTTTGGGAAATTTTTTTGGGAAAATTTGTTTGGTTTGATTATTTTTGAAAACTTATTTGTAGAGAAAATTTCCCAAATTTTTTTCAGAAAATCAAACCAAACGAGCCCTATATTTCTTAAGTAATTGTTGGAACTTTGATTTCGTTGTTACAAGGTTAAAATCATATTTGTTTTACACTTAACGTTATTTATTTCATTTGACAGCTTGAACAGTTTTTTGTCCTGCATACCACAGATGTCACTCATAACTTGTTCTCAGTCTTGGTTCGTCTAGTCCTGTTTTTTTTCCTTGAAGGAGTGGTCATACCATTTCACACTAGATATCCATAGCTTTGTTGAATTTTCATTGTCCTTTGCTTTCCTATTTCTCATGATCATCACTACAATGGCCTTTTAGTTTTAAATTAGCTGCCTTGGTTATTTCCTCTCTGTAATTGATAATTCTAGATAGTTAGGAGAAGCATGCAGTTTATGTTTAACTCATAGATAATAACATGTTAAACATGATTTGAAGCTGTAGGTGTATTTATTGCTGTCATGTTTATGATTTAAATGTGTCATTATTTTCATTTAAACCTTAGTGTCATTGGTAGAGGGAGGAACGATAATTATCCTAGTGTTGTGTTTGCCATTGGAAGAGCATACTTCTACCAAAATTTTATATTTGATTCTCTGCTTGATGACCAACACTTGCTTACCTTTGTCATCTTTCCTGACTGATTGCTAATTAATTGTTTTGTAGTTTGTTGCAGGTTACCATCAAGTTTGGGATCTAACAACTTCTTGCAGTAAGCATGGCCAAGCATCACCCTGATTTGATTATGTGCAGGAAGCAACCAGGTATTGCCATTGGACGATTATGTGAGAAGTGTGATGGGAAGTGCGTAATTTGTGATTCCTACGTGCGTCCTTGCACACTCGTGCGAGTTTGTGATGAATGCAACTATGGATCGTTTCAGGGCCGCTGTGTTATCTGTGGAGGAGTGGGAATTTCTGATGCCTACTATTGCAAAGAGTGCACGCAGCAGGAGAAAGATAGGGATGGTTGTCCAAAAATTGTCAATTTGGGAAGTGCCAAAACAGATCTGTTCTATGAACGGAAAAAATATGGGTTTAAGAAAAGGTGATGGTGTTGAATTATTGTCTTCCCAAGTTTGTTTCTGTTGTCATTATGCACTAATATACTTGGAGATGATGACATATTTCAAAATGTTGGAGCAAGGCCTTAGGTTTTAGATTTGTATTTGTGGATATTATCAGGTTTTGAAAATGAAGAGAGGTGATGGACAAGCTAACATTAAAATTCTATCTGAATGGAAAACATTGTTGAATTTGCATTTAGACCTATAAATCTTCTTTGTTTGTCTCTCTTGATGCAATTTATAGCAAATGATTCTTGGTTTTTGTAGGTTTTTATATAACATCTCTTAGGTGGCGATTGTACAGTGGATGATTAAAATGTTCTTCTTGTTGTGTCCTAGTGAGCAACTCATTATTTCTGTGGAATACTTGCAGGAGATATGCTCATCATTGGTGGCTTTACGAGTTTAATCTAGAGATTTGATGGTTATGTCTTTATGTTATGTTTTGGCCTTTACATATTCTGTATTATCCAAACTATTCAACTTGTTTGGTTAGATTTTTTAGAATTTACTTTTCAGAAAATTAAAATTTTTTATTTTTCATGTGTTTTTTATTTTCACTGATTTTTATTTTTTTAATATTCTAAGCAATTTTTTTTAATTTTTAGATAAACTTAACGTAAATATACTTAAAAAATACAATATTTGTAAAAAAAAAAAATTTAGAAAATTCATTAGATACTAAAAATATAAAAAAAAAAATTACGAGAATTTAGTATATTTTTAATATTCTTCTGTATTTATTATTTTTTATAAATATTTTACTTTTTAGTTACATCTAAGAAAGATGTATCTAAAAAAGTTTTAAAAAAAATTACTTAAAATTTTAAAAATATTTATTAAAATTTAAAAAATTAAATTCAAAAATTAAAATCGTACACAGTGATTAATATTGCGGTATGGACACAATCATTTTCATTTCGCCCCTATGGTGGAACTTTTTAAAAAGTCCACTTTAATTTGTCTAATCTTATGTCAAAAAATGACATTATAAGTTGTATCAACTCACGTCACTTTAGAGGGTTTTGATATGATGATTTAGAGCAGGACTTCTGAGGGATAGAATATAACCATGATGTAAATGTGTCAAAATAAAATTAAATAAAATTGAACATTATAATTTGTCAAAATTACAACATTAGCTTTGTCATTTTGCCACAGTGATTGGGATTGTTATCAAATTGAAATATTAAAGTACAAATTTTTAAATAAATAATCATATGGTCTAATTTGTAATTTTTGTAGCTTTTCTAAATCGATAAATCAAAAAAAAAAAAAAAAACCTTCCCAATGTTTTAAAAATGATTTAAGGTCATGCATGTCATGTTCCGAGGGTGGTGGTTGTGTCTTTTTTATTATGATTATTATTATTATTATTTTTCATTCGGCGGTATAATCCTTTTTTTTTCTTTCTATTGATGTTTTTATTTTCACTTATGGTAAATGTATGAATAATCATACTTTTAGGTTAAGTTAGCCGAATGTAAAATGTTATAGAAGGTGCCGCACTAATTGACGTAAACCAACCAGTCATGTACAAGTTGATTGCCTATATAAGCACATCAACGCATATCATATACACACATCTATCAAAAATGAAAAAAAAAGAAAGGATTATCCTTTGGCTCTTTATTTTCTTGTATTCTCCTTTGGTCTCTTATTTCCTCTTATTCTATTATGGTTTTTTCTTCTTTATTTTCTTTAGTTTTATAACACATTATCAGCGTGAGATTTTCATCAACTGGGAAAGGAAAAGTTGAATCACATACAAATAAGGTTGGTGTAGTTTTTCTACAAAGTGGTTGAGGTAAGTATAAATAAATCATGAATTAATATTTTATTAGAGCAGTTGATGATAAGGCTAATTCTATATTTTTCTTAATATATTCAAGTAATACTAAATATATTATTATTGTTGTGTCGAATCCTTCTTGATATTTTGGGAAATTTATTTATTTTGGATCCTTGATGTTAGGATCCACCTTGAGGTAATGGATCTTGAAAATACCATTAAAAATGAAAATGAAACATGCCTGAAGGATCCTGCAAAGGCAATGATATTCATTCGCCACCATCTCCAAGAAGAATTAAAACTGAGTACCTCACAGTAACAAATTCACTTATTTTGTGGAATAATTTGAAGAAAAAATACGAATACCAGAAGACCATAATCCTCCCAAACGCTCCCTACAATTAATTGCACCAGAAGTTGCAAAATTATGAATCAGTTAGTGAGTACAATCTATAGAATATGTGTTGAAATTTTCACGTTGATAATATGCTTCTGTAGTAGTAGTATAAAGAGTATCGATCTACAAAGTAATCTGCACTTGTAGCTTTCTTGTGGCTGAACAAACTAAATAACTTTTATTAAAAAATCATCAATCTCGCCTTACTAGTTCTACTCCATTCCCTGAAATGAATAAGGTTGTATTTCATGGTTGTGGATGAGGGAGGAGTCATGGTTTTGGACATGGTTGAGGTAAAATTACACAATCCGTCGGGGACATGTCCAGAAACATTTGAGCAAAATTATCATGCCATTATTCCACTTTAGGTGGAATAATCCTAAGATATCACAGGAAAAAGGAAAAGTTTACATAATAAAATCTCCCAAGAATGATGTATGTATGTATGTATGTATGTATGCATGTATTCATGTTGCATATGTATGGTGCATATTGCATGACAAATAAATCTGCAAGAAAAGAGAGTGATTACTATGCATAAATAATTACTATTTATCTTTTTAAAGATTTCACCTGACAGTTCACTATTCATCCTTATTCATCATTGTGCATTCTTTTAACAATTTTCTCAAAATACTATTCATTAACAGTATTTTACTATTGAATTTTTTTTTCTACTTGAAGTGTTTGCCTTCTAGGTAAAAGCCTCAACAAAAGAAAAAGAAAATATTATTGGTGATGAAAATATTCATACTGATTTCTAAATATTATATTAGTTTTAGTTATGTTTTTCGAATTTATATTTTTTTTGTTTGATCATGTTGTGGAAATGATGATTAGTTGTCTATAGACATGGATTGCATTGATGTATTGATTGATTCTAAAATGTTTAGTAAAAGTATTTATTTAGTGGATAGTATAAAAACACCCACAATTCTTTGTAATGAAAAACATTTGATGATGACAAAAGCTAATGTAAAATCTCAAGTTCTGCAAATTTGATTGCAAACTCTAGAAGAGCCAATATTATGATTGTCAAATGGAATCAAATTTGATATTAATGAAGTATATTATACTAGATCTAGAAGACATTTGTTCATTTTTAAAGGTATATGTCGTATTGATTATTGAAACAATAAATAAAGGTAAAGAAGAATATTTATATTTACTTCTACTGTTTCCAGCCAAAAGATGGTCTTAGAAAAGTTCCTTGATATTCATACGGGTTGTATTATATGGCAATAAAAGCAATTGAATCAAATGTTGAGATACACCAGAAGTGCTCCAACTTAATGCACCAGAAGTGTTATAATCCAAAAAGTTTTCATGTTAGGGCATAATTACCCTGAGCATGATCTAAAATGATGCATTAAATTATTGCAAATTCAAATGAGACATCCATTAACGAACCAAAAGATTCTTTTATCAAGCAATTATCCATCAAGTGATTATCCATACTCTGCCTATTCAGTGGGAAAATTAATTATTAGACTATCACATTCATATCAATATGGACTATTCATTATTTCATGATTTTGACAGATATATTAACTAGATAGTCTTATTCGTAACGCAACTTGTAATGATCATTGCATACCTATTGGTATTAATGTCAAGCATCCTACTGCCCATGTTCACACTCAAAATGGTGTAGTTTAAAATTTAATTAAATGGCTTCAGTTAAGTGCTTAACCTCTACTTATGAAAAATAAATTATGGGGTCATGCTAGACCAACTATATACATGAGTACTCACCATTATAGCTTGCATTTAGTTAACCATCAAATGTTATTCATTTAGAGTGTTTAGTTATGTTATATATGTTTCTATTGCACTCCCTTAACACAATAAAATGGGTCTTCAACATAAACTTGGAGTTTATGTTAGTTTTGATTCTCTGTCTATTATTAGATATCTTGAACCCTTAACATGCGATGGATTTAGAGCACACTTTGTGGATTGTCATTTTGATGAAACAATCTTCCCATCATCAAGGGGAGAAAAGTTGCAGACTGAAATTCGACATGAAATCACTTGAAAATAATTCACTGTTATCTTATCTTGATCCTCGTACTAATCAATGTGAACCAGAAGTTCAATTTATTTTCCAAGTATGAGTAAATTAATTTCCGAATGCCTTCACCAACACTAAAAATATAACAAAATCTTATATTTCAGCTGCTAATGCTCTGGCAAGAATTGATGTTCCTAAAGAACAATCTGCTAGTATAACTGTGAATATATCTAAGCCACGCTAAAAGCATTGTAGACCTATCAGTGCAAAAGATAAAAGTTTCTCCTGAAGAGACTATATCTAGCGCTCCTAAAGAGGCTATATCCACGCTCCACAAGAGGTGCTCCACAAGAGACTATACCTAGCACTCTTGAAGAGGCTAAACCCATAAAAAATTCTTAGTGCTCCTGGAGAGGCTAGACCCACAAAACAGACTATTATAAATCTATCTAAATCTCCTACTTATAAACCTTCTGAAGCAAAACCTCCAGAAGAGTTTATAGAGGGCTTAGTTTGCGTAGTTGAGTGGCGCTTGTTGAATATCTGAAGAGTTATCTCCTGAAGTGGAATCTCCTGAAGAGTTATCCCTTGGAGTGGAAAAGGTACCTGAAAATAACGAGATCTCAATACATTATATAAGCACAGGAGATATTTGAGATAGAAATCAAACTATTGTCAACAAGATATTTTCGATTAAAATTGTTCTTGATATTACCAAAAGTAATAATAACTAGAAGTAATGGTGAAAACATTATCAAAAGTGATGATGATAGGAAACCACAAACCGTTGAAGAATGACAAATGATTGGCCAATGTGAAAAGAAGCAATACAAACAGAGTTAAACTTGCTTATAATAATGTGAAGTATTTGGACTTATAGTCCAACCACCTGAAGGGACATAGCTTGTTAGATATAAGTTGGAATTGTTGGATATATGTGGGTATTTGTGCTACAGCACAATGAGAAAAATAAAATTGTTAGATATAATGCATAACTTATTGTGTAAGGTTTCTTGCAAAAAC